CGACTAATAGTTGATCTCAAAATAAAGGTGAGAGAGACTGATGTTTTATAGTTTTTCTATGAGTATTACTGATCAGATAACATTTTTATTTTGAGATCTTTGTATAGTCTATATGTTTAATTGAGCCTGTACATCAGAGAAACACTAAAGCTTTTTGAGAAAGACCCTTTTGATACCCAGAACAACTAAAAGGAAAATGTTCACCGTTGCAACAATAAACGTGGCAAGGATTTATGTCTCTTTACTCTCTTACTCACTGAACTGCCGTGCACTTCCCCTGTGAATTAATTACTTTTTCATGTACTTCTACCTTGAAAAGTCAAAAATTGCAGGTACAAACTGCAATAAGTGTGAGTATAGAAGTAGCCTGTGCTCCATGTAAAGAAAATAAGAAGTGTCTGTATATAACGAACACTTTTTTGTATGTCGTTCTAAAATGACAATAATGAAAATAATTCTTCAATCACACACATGTCTGCCGTATAGCTTATACAAAGTATGGACTATATAGACTAAATATGCATCTGTCGATAAATGTCAGACACAAACTTCAGACACAACCAGACTTCCCAGATGGTCCGTATTTTGGAGTTTTTTCCGCAATTTGTCCGCATTTTGAGAATTGTCTGCTTTTGCTGTTTTTCCCCTGTTTACATATAACATTTAAAAAAAGAATGTCTATTTATTGAGGATTCTCTTTCTCATCCTATTGCCAAACCAACACCATCTCCAGACGTGCACAAATTAGTTTCGTTTATATTTTCAATTTCGTGCAGTAATTCATACGTCGAAAGTGCATTTTCTTCCATGAAACATCTATTTAACGATAAAAGAAATCGTATGTCGATAGAAATGATTGCAGCTGAGTTAAAAATTCGCTTAAACTCATCGTTATCATGCACTGAAATTTATAATTATTTCTTATCAACGCCAGATCTGCTTAAACTTATTCATTCTAATCAAAAATATACAGTCAAACATATCACCGAATCGAAAAATTTCAAAAGCTTGTTCGGTCGAAACCGATTGCAGATTCGTTTTCTCCATGGTTGATTATGTGGTACGCAATAACTTTTGGATCGGGGTACTTTAGAAAAAAATTTTCTCATGGTCTTGCTCAAAAATTTTTCAGAATGTTACCGTATGGGACCAAAGGGAAAACGATGTCGAAAATTTTTTCTAAAGTACCCCGATCCAGAAGTTATCGCGTACCGCATAATCAACCATGGAGAAGACGAATCTGCAATCGGTTTTGACCGCACAAGCTTTTAAAATTTTTCGATCCGGTGATATGAAACAACGTGTCAACTAAAATCGAGACTTACATTTCTGTTTGTTTTTCTCTTGTGTTTAAAAACCACAATAAAACCACAAAGTGCTAGAGAAAACATTTTTTTGACTCTGTGCCGGCAGAGTTGCCAGCTCAGGCGCCACAATCAATGCCAATACGGCAGAAAATCGCGTCGATTATGGCACTCCAGCAGGCACCTCTGTGATTGTGCGTGAAAACGAATGAAGTTAGACCATGAAAATGTGTTTCCGCTTTTTGTCCGCATTCTGAGAAAAATTTTCCGCAAGTTTCCGCATTTTGAGATTTTTATTCCGCATTTCTGACCTGAGGATCTGGGAACTCTGGACACAACAGTCATGATTCGATCACACTTAGAAATAATCTTTCTTTAGTAGAAGCGTTTCTGCTGTTTTTGCTCTCTCGTATCTTTTTAATGTTGTGAGTTATCTAAGAGATTGAAGCCTGCTTGTGTGTGCACTCTGTGGAAGAAGCACTTGATATGTACTTTACCAAGTACTATCACAAATAACGAAGATATTTATCAAATCTTAAGATACTTACGAATTCTCATAAATACTTGAGCAAATACTTGTGAAGTGCTCAATGTATAAAAATACTTCCAGGCACTTCAGTTTACAGCAACTTTTCAAAACCTGTAAGTGCCCAAGTACTTTGTCTCCAGTTCATTCACTCGGGTAGGAAGACTCTATTCTTGAGTTAAAGAAATAGTAAAAGAGGATGCTCATTTTACTTCGTATGAAATAATCTTTTTTGGGTTCCCGTTCTTGACCCTAGCCAGATGATAGGATTTTAACAGCATTTCCAGAAAATCGCCACATGAAAAGCCACCTGGTCAAAGTCAATACCCTGCGTCTTTTGCAGCACTAGTCGCATAGTATGTGGGGTAACAGGATCTCGAAGAGCTGACGTGTAGTTTTCGACAGAGGAGGCAGGGAAGAGCCAAAGTAGGTCTCATGCCTGCGCTTACCATGAAGAAGCAGAAAGTACTAGAGACTTCATTAATGCGCCATATAAACAAACTTGGAAGCCGCTTTCATTTGAATATAAATAAAGTTATGTTTTGTTAAATGCTGAGCTCGTCAAACACGCTATAAAACGAGTGATACCTGCTAATGAGATAAGGTCCTTCACTCAAAAATTCTTTCGGAATATCAGAGAAGAAAATCTCATTTGCGGATAGAAATATGCAACTTTGTATGCTCTTCCCGGCCAGTAGTATGAGAACGCTTGATAGTATTAGATAAGATCGAATTTTCGCTGTTCTGGCACCCCTAAAAACGCTTCAAGTCAGAACTTATGGCTGAGGAAAAACTGCGTTCGGAATAACTTTTCCATGAGGCGACAAGAAGTCTTAGACACTTTTAGTAGGGCTATCGATTGCATACAGTCAAACCTTCCCGGCTTTTAGCTCATGTAATACTGGGTGGACCTGCGTGGAAGTACCCTGTAACGCCAAGAAATATTATTCGGATTCCATCTGGATCATTTGAAATTCGTTCATGCTCTTTAGTTGGTGACCGAGGCACATCAGTCTGGAGGTTAGAATACATCATTTCAAACTTGCTCTACTAATAATCATGTGTCCGGTCGTGTATTCTAGTTATGGTTGAAGATAGAAAGAACATGGAATGAATAAAATTTGCAGATTTCAAGCATAATCTCCCTGTACAAACTTTCAGTCTTTGTACTTCCTCTTTCAGAGGAATTCAGGAGAGGAGTTACACAAAACAATGAAATTCTGCAAGGTATTCTATACATTTCCAAGGGACGGCATTTGCTTATAGTAGGAAGTTGATTTGTAAGATGTAAAGTTTTAGTCCATCTGGGGGTTTTTCAACGTCTAAATGTCAGTTTTCTTTTCTTTTTATTAAAAAAATGAAAAAGGAGGAAAATCCAAGGGGAAAACAGCTGAATTTTGGATTTTTCCGATTTTCGTCGAGTTTTTAGGAATCACACATAGTGGAATTTAAAAAAAGCGGCAGAAGAAATCTTAATGTTATTTTGGGAATCGTTAAAAACGCGAAAAATCAGATTTTTTTCGCCACTCGAACAATAAGTTGCCTATAACTGTTTTTGGCAACTCCTACAGATTAGCGGTGTTCAATTCTAAAATTTAGCTAGTTGATCCGAACAATATGTGGTAAGTTCTGGTTATTTGTGCCAACACTTTTGTGAGATATCTTGGTAGGTATCATAAACAAGCAAAACTTGTTCAAAAGTGTCGTTTTCATCCTATACATTGAGACAGATAAATTTCACTCGCCGTGATTCTCACCCTATTTTTTCTCTGGTTTTCTTCTAGCCGTCTTGGCTTCTGGTATCGCATCATTAATCACACAACCTATTGATGTATTAAAAACACGTTTACAAGTACAAAAACAGCGTACACCCTAGACAAATTTTTTTTGAAATTTCTGATAAGAATCTTATCCGATTCTTATCAGATTCTTATATAAGAAGTGGCACGAAAGTTGCACGAATTTCTTAAGAATCAGATAAGAATCTTATAAGAATTTCATAAGAAAGTGATAAGAATCCTTTATCAGATTGTTACAAGTTTTTTGCAAGAATTATTCTCTATTCATTTCGTTTCAGTAAGATTTCATAAAAATAACTTTCTCTTCATAGATTTTCCTTAAGCCAAAGAATTTTAACAACGTAATTTCATGTCTAGAATCTACTATGATAAACTTAAAATTTCGACGCACTAAATTATATGGACGAGGACTTTTCTGTGCACGGTTTTTTCCAGAATTATGCACGGTTTGCTGTTTTCCGTGCACTAAAAAATCTTTTGACATTTTTGTGCACGGTTACAGAAAGATGCACGGAAAAAGCCAGAAATGTGCACTGAGACGTTTCTGTGCACGCTTTTTGAAGAACGAGCTATACCTTGTTGTTTGATTATTAAATTTTGTTGGCAGGTTGGTAATTCTTCAGAACTGTTTCGATAATATCTTTTCGAAGTTCAAATAAAAAGAAACTGTCTGCCTTGATTTCCGGTTGCTGAAACGCCGGTATTACCTGTCATTTCTCATTTATCTAAACGAAGATCTATCTTTTTCTCTATTTCATTCAACATCAACTCGCGACTAGTTTTATCTGATCTTTTATATCGTCTTTTTCACTCCAGTGAAATACAGCTGCACGCAAATGATAGATGAATTTTAGAAACCAGCTGCGACCATTTATATACTGGTGCAGCATGATTATCAGTCGTGATGATAGGTTTACTCGTGACCCTGTCTCACATTGTAATCTCCCGTAGTTTTTTCCAACTCACCATCGGCTCGTAACAACGTTTTGTAAGTGTCAAGAGTTTTTTCCGCCGTATGATTAATTGCAAAATAATCAGGATCTTCTATTTTACTCACATCTTTCCAATCAGCACGTCTAGAAGTACATAATAAACAATCTGCTCCACCTAATCCTGATTCCATCGTTCGCACTTTCAAGTCTTTCATACTGTTTTCAATTACTACCTTAACATTATCAGTAACACTTTTATATTCGAAAGACGTACCATTTTCACGTACAGATTTTTCGACTGGCTCAAAAATGCCATTAATAAATTGTAATAATTTCGTAGATTCCTTCCCTGCAACTATTGCAAGCGGCCTACACCAATGTGAACTATTGGGTGTTTCGTTGTTCCACAAAACTTCACCCGAATCAGTTCGCAAAGACAAAGGTACGAACATCACAGAGAAAATATTGGCATTTTCCATTAGCTAATTCGGTGATTTGTAAATTGGCATATTACCTGCACCATCGTGACCACATTTTTCACGGTAAACTAAAGATGTTGGCACAACTTTATTCTGTTTATGTAACATTTCTATTATTCTTTGAACAGTTAGATCAATTACCGCTTCTCGGAAAGTAAGGAGAACATCCGTCTTTCGATGTTCAGGTGCCATCTCCAAAACACCTAGTTTCGGTAAGAGATTTTTTGCATAATTTCTGAGGTATTCTCTCTTTGGAATACGTACAAATGGACTCAAAAAAGTTGTACAATAGTCCAGTTGATTTCTGGAGATGTCAAGATGACTTTTAAAAGCAATAGTTTCATCTAAACTAAGTTCACTCATAGAATGATCAATGTCACCAGTTTTATATAATTGTGTACCAAGAGCCGCAAGTTTTTTATTGTTTTGATAATTACGTTGGCGTAAAAGAAAACCGATCACTTGATTGACAGATATGTCGTTTGCAGCTGCAAACTCATCAAGTTGATCGTTTAAATCTAGTAATCTGTTCTTCTTTTGCCGATCTCCAAGTTCTTCGAAATTTTTACTTTTTCTTTGGGGTGGCTTAGGATTGTTTCAAGTCTTTCGATTCCAGAATGATTTGAGAAAACTCATTTATTCGCCGTTCTTCAGGTCTCTTCACATTCTTCAACGTTAAACAGTTCACAAATTTTAGAAACAAGTTTATCCGTCTCTTTGTTACAACTGATGAAAACTTCGTAAAACTGATTTAGGGTTAGACTGGCGAACTTTTTTGCTCCCACCAATTTATTTTGAGTTGACGTGGACTCTTCAGTCCCGTTCGTCAAGGTGGATGAAGCCTCGGCTCTGTCTATTGAGACCGTACTCAATTCTGCCATTGCTTTTATCAAGCGGTAAAGGTCATTACCTTGGGCAGAGACCGATCAGACAACTTACCTTGTTAAATCGGTTGTTCCTTCGATAGCTTCCACTACCCACTCAACTGTGTCAAGCGATCTCAGCCTCTCCATCCTTGAGAAATTACATGACCTACAGATAACTTAGATAATAGGGCCAGGGGAAATTTATGCAAGTTCCAGAGGCCTGGCTGACATAGTCCCTACTATCTAAGCCTCCTAGCGCTCTGCTAGCCATATCTTTTTACAGACCCTCTTTGGGGATTTCGACCGTCCTTGGGCACAAAAATTCCTCAAACTTCTTCAAAAAAAAATTCCTCACAAAATTTCCTCAAAGTACTATACAGCAATCCTAAAATCCGCACCAATTCCGAAATCGTAACCTAAAACCTTACGTCACAACATTATCCTAGTTTAACGTCATTGCGGACCAAAAGCCGAAAAAGTTAAATTTTTGCGTAAATGAAAAATTTTCGTAAATTCAAAAGCTATAGAATTTTCTAAAAAGACCCGTCACTAGATGCAGTTTTTCAAGCTGATTTCGAATATGTACTTATTTTTTTAGCAAGACGCTTAGATAATGAAAAAATAACGTCAAAAACCTCTGGAAAACCATTTCCTTTGAGAGAGTCATAATTCAGCGGAGAGAGATTAGTGCATTTTTGTGCGTATATAGGTCGATACACCGTGTATTAAAGATGCTTCACTTAAAGTTTCATTAAGTTTGCTCCTCAGCTATAGCCAGCGCGCGCACTTTACTGATGTCTGCTATTGGAAATACATCTACCATTACAAAAAACCTATTTTTACCGCTCAAAAAAAGACCTAATTGAAAAAATTTTTATGAGTGCATAGCCCAAAGCTTCAGCTTCCGGAAGATATGGGTTTTAGTTTTCAACACCGTTGCTCTCAAGAACGGAAAAGCAGTTATTGCTCAAAGTCCTCAAAAATGGCCAAAAATTGTGACTAAGTTTTCTCCGCCCTCTTAAGCATTTAAATCAAAATTTTTTCACCATCAAATTGCCTATTGAATAGTGGACACATATCATTGTTTGAATTTCGAAAAATCTCACTTTCGTTTTTTCACCTAAGTTCCATGTGATTGCCCACTGTGGGCCCTTATGCTAAATTGACCACGTCGGTTCTGGCCAAAAAGCGTTTTGCGGACTCTGAATCACAAACAGACAGACAACATTTCTACAGCCTGGTTCTATTTTAGAGTAGTTATCACTACTAAATTATGTTGAAGAAAGCCTCTCAACTAAAAGCTAAGCAAATCCGACGGCTTACGAGGGAACCTCTCGAGGTCATAAATCGCTTTTTGATCGAAATCTAGTGGCTTGTAGGCTATCGACCATGCTGATTCCGAATATGATTATGGGAGTTGCCCATATTAGAGCTGGGAGATGTCTCATTTCGATCGGAACTTCGTGGCTACAATCGTGACTTATTAAGAGAAAGTTACAATAAAGAGCCCTAAATTAATTTGTTCTTATTTCTGTAGCTTTGAGGATTTAGGGCTTTTCTTGTAAATTCTATAACTTTGCAAAGAAAGGTCGTGTAGAGCGGGGAGATGTCTCATTTTAACCAGAAATTTGCCGGCTACAATTATATTTCATTAAGAAAGATTTTTGTTATTCTTTAGAGTTTCTGAGAAACTGGTTTTCCCGTAAACGGTATCTTCGAACGACCATGGGCAGCTCCCATAATCATATTCGGAATCAGCATGGTCGATAGCCTATAACCCACTCGATTTCGATCAAAAAGTGGTTTATAACCTCGAGAGGTTCCCTCATTAGCTGCTTCAACGGGAGTGATTTAACACTCATAGACACTGATAGTTACTTTTTTTCTTGAAAAAAATGAACCAGAAAGTCATTAAGTAGCTTTCACAGTGTGCTGCATAAGTGTGGCAACAGCTTCTCATGTTTTCTATAATATGAAACATTTCAGAAAGTCATCGAATATAAAACATACACACTTTTCACCTTGTGTTTACAGAGTACAGCTGCAGATGTGCACCTTTTTCCCTTATATCATCTCCTTCTTACTTTGTAAAGTAGATGAAAGTGTTTAATCGATATATAGAGCCAAATCATCGATAAGTATATGCAGACCTGATGGCTTAGTAGGATAAGTCACAGATAAGCGATCTATATATATGATATGTATGTCCACGGACCGCGATTCGAATCCGTGCAGGACTACGCACTTTTTTTTCTTTTTCTTATATTATATATTCCCGGAACCGACCGCCGGAAACTGGCACAAAAAGACGGCATTAATTCGGCGCGGATTCCGGTCACAAAGATCTGATGCACTTCCGTCCAGTTTCGGCGTTAATCTGTGCCGTTACCGGTCGGAAATGCACCAGATCAGTGCTGGAAACGATCGGTTCCGACAACGGAACGATCACCGAAATCATGGACCTGGGTAAGTTCGACTTGAAAGTAGCTCGAACAAGGGGAAAAGGCGGAATGGCCTGGAATGGCCCATTCCGTACCATACTATATCGTTCGACAACGCTTTTTCCCCCTTGGGCTCGAAGCACACTATCGTTGCCCAAAAGGCAGCATATTAGAAGAGATGGAAAATGATCGTTAGTGATGCCGCTAAATAGAGCGTCGACTACTTGATGGTGTTCGGGTGAAGAGAGGAACTTGCTACATGGTAAGGGAAGAATAACTGCAACCTGTTTACGAGTTGACTCAGTGGTCTTGAAAGAATGAATTTTGGGGAATTGAGTAAAATCAATAGTAGGATATGAAGAAAGAAAATAGAGACGAATGAGCCAGGATGAAAATGGATCAAGAAGAACCACCTGTGGAGAAGATCGTCGCCATCGAAATACGAGAAAATTTACAAGAAGAGCTCGTCGGACAATAGTTCAACCTGACTGGTCAAATAATCACGCATGATAGTAAAAAACTGACCTTAAAAATAAATGCAACAGTGATTACATGCTCTTTTATGATCAGTTTTTGGATTTGTGTAAAAGAAGAATGCACATTTCGATGTGGGAGTCGAGCAAGCAATGTTGTAATGTAGTAGTGAGTCAGAGAACAGTATTAGGAAGCTCATGGTTTATTGTTTTATGATGGTGCAATAACATGTCGATTTCATTACACTGCAGCAAACAGAACACAAAACAGACGAACTAACCGTACTATATCATAGTATCATATAGCTGCTACAGCCTATTCTCATTTTTTATAAAATATCATAAAGTGTGTACATACTTGTTACATCATGTGCACTTGAACATTTTTTTTCTTTTAATGACGGATAAACATACGTTATCAACTAAGGTATTTTATTTGATTTAGATTTCGCTTTACCCTCTAAAATACAGAACATATGTTCGATCTTACGTTTGGATAAGTTTTGAAAAAAGAAATTTTCTTTTTATTTCAAACGCGAATAAAAACAGCTGTGTGAGCACGATACGTTTCTTTTTGTAGTACTTTTACTTTCACTTTTTTTCTATATTTACGTTCATATATTGAGAACTCCAGATACAAAACAGTTGAATGTGAGGAAAAATGAGTTTAACTGTGCTCAAATTACGTTTATCACAAGCGAATATGAAACACCATGAGCATTCTTTTGAGGACACTATTGCAACCACAATCGACGGCAACGATAGTTTTGTTGATATAGATCGTAAGTGTCTAATTCTTTTCTTTTTCTCGTCAGATCGTTGATCATCCCGTTGAAGAAATTTATCTTAATCTCAAAGCCAAATTATTCCCATAGTACCAACAAAAGCGGTGAAATCAAATAAGCAGACTTTCAAGATGAAAAAAGGAGTCGAATTTAATAAAAATCGAACCGTCTGATATCGATTTCGACGTGGTGAATAGTCGTTGGGTACGAGGTGGTGGAATCAGAACGATACACAACTTTAAAATATTACCAATACCGACCTGGTATCAGTTTCGACATCCACCTCGTAGATGAAAGGTCGCCACTCCTGACTATCCGAACTCTCAGTGAAAATTCGAGTATTAGAATGGGTATAAGAACGGAGTGCTCTACAATGGATTTGTGAACGGTTCGTGTAGCATCCATGAGAATGTATTGGATAAAATAAATTATCTTTTTCGGATTGAGTTCTGATGCCCTCTATTTATGACGAGGTCCGAACACCCATTTTGATATTTTTTTGTTCTCGTAGATTTGAAGTAGAAAAATTTGGTTTTATTAAACTTTTCAATTCGAGATGTTTGTCCGAACAGAATAATCAAGTTCTCCGTTAGTTGAGTTCTTTATCTTTCACACGTATATTTTAACCACCTAGTACAGAGTTGATCATTTATATATGCATTTTTCTTACAATGAAATCCAGAAGTATCATCAGACGACGACAGTAATCCCCACCATCACAATATCAGTCATAATCATTTGTCAATACAAGATAATAATTCAAAAGATTTTGAATTATTAGCAGATGATGATCCAGAAATAACAACGTCAAGATCATCACAATCAAATCATTCTTTAATTAGACAACATGCACTACTGAAAGAATGGGAGGTAAGAAACGATTGGCAAAACATGTTTGCATAATATATTACTTTTGCTTAAGCAGAGACGAAAAACAATAAGGGTGATCTGAATTGAGAGTTATTATTTAGAAAACATAGACAAGACAAAAATAGATTTGGCATGTCATGCGCTTAAATTAGAAAAGACCCTTTTAGACATCTTTTTCAATGTTATGTTTTCTTTTCACTCACGAATTGTTTAGTATTATACAAATATGTAGACATAACCAGATTAAGTGTTCGAATCGTTTTAATATAAAACAAATGTTCAATGTTCAACGAATATTTTCTGTTAAGAAATAAAAATGATAATACATATCTTATCATTGTTTAATAACAAAAATACTACTAATAATATTAGAATATTTTGTTGATGAGACCGAAAAATTAATAACGCGGTAAAAAGAACGATTTTCATTGCCCTTTATTCTCCTGTCGCTTGAACGAAAATATTGGCCGAATGCGTCTACTTGTTTGGTCATTGATTTGTTTTTAGTTAATGATTGATTAGAGAATCTCATTGTAAAAAAAAAAGGTTAAAAGCACATTTAAACAACAGTGGGTGTTGTTATCAATCCACTGTGAGTGGGTTGATATTGTGTGTCCAACTGCAAATGAAAAAACAATCATTAAAGATCATGAAGTGAGACAGCACTTTGATGGCTTTTTTTCATACTAAAAATTTTGTAATTTAACTTATCGTTCTTCGTCAATAACCAATTATTGTTGAGTACAACAACATGTGAAGTAGTTAACGTTTTCTCAAAATGAAATTGAGGGCAAAAATCTGTTATATTTAGAAAATTCAGACTAGTACATCCGAAGAGTCACAGTTGTCTGTGTAACGTTTTGCTTTCTGGTTACTGAATTTCAAACGTGCTTGATCAATCAAGAAGGACACATGAATAGACACTTGATAACATGGTAGATTTCTTGTTTCAAGTGCTGTTTATTAGATGTTCATAAACTAAGCTAATATCCATTAATAGTTCCTTATTAAAATCGGATACAGTGAATAGGTAGTTCCTCTATTTGATTATGCTAACATCAAATAATATTTAGATGGATACTTAACAATTAACAAATTAGCAAAATCATAATCACTATCACCCACTATATCCAAAACCACACGTATCCTATTCTTATCGTTCAATTAAGTTTGTATTCGATAAATTATACGATAAAAGAGATGTTGATGTCGTTTTTGAATGTTAGGCAGTAGGTTTTGATTGATGATACTTGTTCATAAGTATCCATCTGAATATAATTCGATATTAGTGCAATCATCTTGACAAGCACTGTCTATCAGCCATATCAAATTGTTATTGGCTATTAGAGTACTTTTTCGAATATTCCTACTTATTAGCTGGAAAACTGACGTTTTTTAATAATTAGTAAATTTAACGAAGTGGATAGAATATCCTTTCTGAAAGTCTACTCATTATGAAACGCACGTTTGCATGTGTGAATTAATGATGTTAATAACATTCACTATAGACAAGAGCATGAAATGAAATTGATAGTTAAAAATAGCTCAACATTTCTTCTTCGTTTTATTGTATATTGTTTATTTAAATCCAGGTATATCAAATATCTTGTATTAATTTTATATTCTTCAATCTATTTCTTAACATGTCCGTATTGACATCCGTTCTTTTTCTGTTTATAGACACTATATACATGTACACACAACTAATTTTGAAGGTTTTTTTGTTGTTTTTGTCCATTGGGGTTGACCTTTTAGTAAACTAATATATCAAACAATTGTATAAAGATTAGAAGGATTTAGAAGTTTATCTCCTTTAAAAAGAAAACTTTAATCAAAGCAGCTTAGATACGGTACAATATGTAGACTATATATACGATTTATTTTCTATATAATTAAAATGAAACCATTATCTTAAAACATACTTCTTACACTGTATCGAAGGTGAATTCATTCGAAAAAAGACTACTTGAGAAACGGGCAAAATTCTCTTTTGATAATTAACTTTTTTTTCCCATAATAATCATCATCAATACTTTACCACGCACATATTATAGAAAAAGTATTCATTCAAAACAAAATAAAAAAATAATGATTGAAGTGAGATGTGAGCATTAAAAATATTAAAAGTGAATGAGGAAGTCTTAGTTTTTAAAATATGAAAATGAACCATTTAATTATTGATGAATAATATAATAAGTAATCGAGAACAATCTGTTAATTAACTGATCTATTTTCTAAATCAAAATTCTACATCAAAAATCTAGTTTATTAAAAAAAAAAAAAAATTTTTTTTCGATTAATATTATTTAAACTAGTTGTACAAATATCGTTAATGTAGTTAAAAACATACTTACACTCTGAAAATGTATATTATATATTTTACTAGTGAATCATTAACATATATTCAAGTACAAAAAATATTTACATGTCTCATATAAAGAAAAAAAGCATATCTTAATTAAAGTGCAAATAATTTTAAATTTCTTTTTTTTTTTTGTTTCAATAAAATTATGTCAATTTCTTTAGAAATGATCTGTGTCTTCTAGTTAGATATATTGTTTTTTTATTCGTTAGAATAATGACAATAACAAGTTAGGAAGTAAAATGTCTAATAAAGAAAAAATTTCTCAATGCATCATCTAACATTATATCTTCTTATTCTTATAATTTGTATAATAATTATTATTTAAGCGAATATCTTGTATAGATAATTATTTTCATTATAATAAGTGATACAAAATCTTTTTTCCTCTTATTACTTGTTCTATTCAAAAAAAGATTTTTCTTTTCCTCTTTTTCAACATTATAAGTGTGTGTATGCGTGTGTAAGTAACAATACAAGAAAATTCTTTGCCTTTATCGTTCTCTATCCTTCTTTTTCTAATATTGATTAAAACGTGTGGATTTTTGTTATAATGAGTATAGAGACTAAGCTATGTTTCTTCTTTTCTGTAGTCTACTAAAAGTAATAAACTTGTATTATAATCAAGTGCCACAACCGTCGACTTTGAGAATAATTGTAATTAAATCATGATTACAAATAGTAAAAGACCATCACCATCTCGTTCACCATCATCCACATCCTCCTCCAGTTCTTTGTCTTCAACTCCGATATCCGGATCGTCTTATACACGACAAAATCGTCCATCTCATCGATGTTCAATGACAAATGAATGTCCCAAAACTACCAGACGTTTTACATTACATGGTCTATTTCCAGCAATTACTAAACAATTATCGGATCATATGACAACATCGAAAAAGAGTCTAATCGGACAAATGAATGATATTAAAAACAAACCACAACAGCATATTACACGTTGGAGAAAACGAGCATCCAGTCTTATACCATCATCATTATTTCCCGATAGAAATGAGAGAAAAACTTCTTGTCAATCGGTAAGATTGATGTTTTTGAATATTCATAATCTCATATAAAAAACAGTTATTTAATCTAATTTATATCTAAAACTCATTGTCCCATTGAAAAATGTGAAAATCTATATATTATTGACAACTCTGGAAACTTTATCTAATTTTTTTTATACTTCTATCGGGCGGCTGAGAATTTATATAGACTTGAGTCGTTTATATCAACAGATCAAGTTTTTCTTGTTCATAACGCGAAGAATTGTAACTTGTTCAAGCTAATTAGTGTGATTCAAACAGGATGTCTCGTTTAGAGGACCAAACGTTTTTCTGGAAAATAATAATCAAGGAAATTGTGCAAAATGACTTTTCTACGAGACAGACACATTTATACCAGATGGTATGTTCTGCAAGCTCTGAAGATTTTAGTGTTTCTCAGTAAAATGAAAAAATGCATTACCGTGTTGAATACCTCATATGAGGTTTCCTCGTAAGACAAAATTTTTCACATTTTTTTCACCTCTAGGACAACGCTGACAAGCTTTTGTATATGAATTAGCGAACTACCCCAAAAAATCTGTGTTTTATCAGAAAAGCTTTTGATCATTCGAAAAAGTTTCTTAGTTATTCGGTGTTGACATCTCAAGGAATGCGAAGAAATGTCCGATTTCATAAAACTTTCTGTTTATGTATAATATGTGGCACTATAAAAGAGCGATTGATTTAAAAACAAAATAACGGCGGCATTTGGTAACCTTACGAAATCCTTAGTTCATTTTTAATTTTTCAAGACTGCGAGTATTCTATTGATTTCAGCACTTATACCCATCTAATATACTCCAGTTGTTTTAAAAAAGACCCTACGTTACTCTGTTACTCTAGGGCTTTGGAAACTATGAGTTTTCGAAACAATTTCGGCAAAACTGTGTCTTATACAAAGTTTTAGATGCACTAAAAAGAATGATAAATATAAATTCAATTGAGATAGTAATTAAGTTATCGGCAAATAATTTCTAAAATCATAAGTATTACAGATATATTTTACTTAGTTTCTCAGTTTCACGCTACTCTCTCCTCTCGCTACAGACTGTACGGATGGATAATACTGATGAAGTGAAATAAGGAGATTTTTGCGAAGTTGATATGTTGTGAATAAATGCATTTGTATATGTTATCATGTATTAGTAAGTTGAATGATTTAACTTCTTAATTTAACATTATTTCTTCATGTAATCTGAACATTATGACGCTTCGCATTTAATTACCACTTCCATTAAATAATTATAAAATATTTTATGATTATACACACACACACACGCATCGTACATCTATTTCTGTTGCACGAGATATTAAATTTTAATTTTTTAAGCAGACGATTTATTGTTGTTGTCTAGCTCAAAAATAACTTCATGTTATGTTTTCTCATTTACAGTATCCATTACAAGTAGAGTATTTTCATAAATATCATAGTAAACACAATACATAAAGTATCAATATATGGCGCATATGATCCTAAGTCGTACAATTCCGTTCATGACGTTCAAAATAAAATATATTGTTAAGCTAAGGTGATATGATTAACTTATATTATGAGTTTCAACGCGTATATTTTTATATGAATATGCTAAGTAACTCAATGTAGAGCCTTGCAGGTTAAGTCCAACCTAACCTATAGATTAGATTGAGGTTATGAAAGTTTTTATAGGTTAGATTATAGGTTGCCAAAAAGTTGTAATCTGCAATGCTCTAACTGGATGCATGTTTAGAAAATAGTAATATTTCCTCTCAATATTTATATAGATGTTCGTGAGAAAGGAAGAAAAAGTAGTTTGACATTTATGTGTCTTAAGGATTAGTTCATGTTTTCATCTGAAGTATAGATGAAGTATGAAGCATAGATGTAACTGGTCGGAAAGTTTACCGGTCTCAGTATTTGCGACCAGATGGGGACTGTCGTAAGCTGATCTGGACGGCCGGTTGCCGGTCCAAACCGTTACCGGTTATAACTATCATATGAAGGCTAACGATTCCTGTCGTTTATTTTTGCTAGGGGTAAAACTTCATAATGAAGTTGGAAAATAACTAAAAATCTAAACGAAAGTCTCTCGAAAGCAAAGAAGCACGATGCAGAAAAGAATTACGCATAATATGAACTAGATTTAACCTGTCAACCCCCAGTAGTGTCATATGATTATCTCTTTTCATTTTTCTGTTCAGATAATAAATGTTGATGAGATCCGTGCTCATAGAAATGTACTGGATTTTGGTATAACAGCACCGAAACTTTTTCAACCATCATTGCTACTATCCGAAGAACAAATAAAACAAGTAAGACATTTATTGTCCCGTTTCGTTATATTCTTTTTTGGCATTTGTTAAGTATGTTTTAGATTCTACTTGAATTGCCTGCTCGTGTTCACGCTTGTAATTGGAATTTAACATTTTCCACAGAAAATCATGGTTTCAGTTTAAATGCCTTATACAGACGATCGATTGAACAAGACTCAAACAGTACATCACTTTTAGTTGTTAAAGATATCGAACAGAATGTATAAGAGACTTTGATGTCCATGAAATATAACAAGATGGATCTTTTTCTTTTTGTTATTAGGTATTTGGAGCTTTTCTATCGTCACGTGTAATGATCAGTGACGGTTTTTATGGTACCGGTGAATCGTTTTTATTCACATATTATCCAACATTTAAGGTATGTTTTGAGGAAAAGAAAAAGATATTTTTCTTAACCGGCTCTATTTTAAGGTGTTCCATTGGACCCACCATAACTTATTCTTTATTAAAGGTGATTTGCATTCACTTGGTCTTGGAAGTGGAGAGTAAGTTTGTTCTACAGTTTTTCGATATATTGTTTCGCATTGTGGTTCAAGAACAATATTTTTATATGAATTTCAATGTCTACATGCGTTTTGTACTGATACTCAAGATTATTCAAAGGGAAGTCTTTCTTAATATTTGAAAATGTCTGCTTATGTGTCATTTCAGAGGCACATATGGTTTATGGTTAGATGGTGATTTATACCACGGTCGAACATGTCCAAGTAAAACATATGATAATGATTATTTGACACGTAGCGAAGATTTTATTGTTGATAATATTGAATTATGGTCATTTGTTGATTAATAGAATCGTATATATCCAATTTTCTATATTTTCTTACAGTATTTGTTGTTACTACAGTTTTTTCTGCTTTTTGGACAACAAGTTTGAGACAAAGTCATGTTTTCTTTTCCTGTAAATAAATTTGTTGACACTATTCACGTGATCCTATATATTATGCTTTTTATGTCAATTTTTTTGTGGTTTTTAATGCTCCTTGATTTTTCATAGCCAATAACGTCGTGCTTTTTTTTTCTTTTTATTTGTATGAATTTTTGGTTTTCTCGAGTTTATATATTTTTGCTACTTTAGGATTTGTGTGTGAGTGTTTGTATGAGTGTGAGTGTGTGTGTGCGTGCGAAAACAATCAACGTTTTCTCAATGTTCGATAAAACAACAACACATTGAAACAGTATTCGTTTTCCACATCAACAAATTACTTTATTTTTTAAAATAATATTTGTTGACTCTTTGAAAGAAACATAAAACATACTTTAATTATTTTCCTGTTTGACTGTTTTACTAATTAAGTTGGAATGGATTATGTTGAAATTAAAAATTATCCGATAAACGATTTATTTGGAAAACGATCATTAGATATAGTAAATAGAAATAATCACTATCAAGACTAAGTTCTATTTAGATTATTAGCTTCATGAAAATTCTGCTTAAACAGATCAACCTTTAGTAAAAATCTTAGACACTTCTTAAAATTATCTTACTAAGATCCTATAAGATCTTATCGCTTAAGATTTTAATAATATTTAATGACTCTACTTTCATTCACTCCTATGTTTTGCTCTTATTCATCTATATAAGTAACACCGATAATATGAGTGATTTTACGGTTATTTTTCTTCCAGACTCTGCTAGTACTTGCTGTCTCGAAAGTGTTCAATGACTTTTCAGAGAGTGTACATACCGGTCAAGGTCCAAAGGTGGACCACCGAAAATATGAAATTTCTCTTCATTCTTTAACATTGTTCAACTGCTGCTTTGGATAATATGGATCAGAAATTAAAAAATTCTAGCGGATTTCGAATGAATACTATTTAAAAATGTCATCATTCTTACTGTTAAGGTCCTAAGATATTCTTATCCAATCTTGAAAAAACCTTAGACAGTATAATCTTAGTATGATCTTAGAAAAAGCTTATTAAATCTTAGAATTTTCGGGTCTCACGATCTTAGTAAGATTTGTCTAAGATCTTAGACAAATGTAAGCGAAATGTTACTAAGATCTTGATAAGATTCGAGTAAGTTTCTCACTAGGGATGACTTTCTAGTCATCAAGAAGATGAGTGGCATAGAAGTCTGGTAATCAGAATCTTAAGTTGATTTATGATTTCGACGTTGAATTTAACAAAGAAGAATATACAACATCAATATAATGTTCAAAGAAGATGATAACCATAACAATTCTACAGAATTATGATTAAAAATATAGATTGTTCTCCTAAGCACATTCAGCATGTTTTTGCAATTCAACATTATCAATCATTCATGATCGTGTCCCACATGTTTTTTAGGCATCGCCAATTCGTTTGTTCTTTCAGATGCGTCATATTTTAATGCTGCTCGAGAAACCGGACGCGGTATCGAATTTTCATAATGAAAAGCATGATGATTTTTTCGTGGTTCAGACAATTCGTTTAAACGTTGTGTACATGTTGCATTGATGGCAGCTATATTCACACCCGAATATGCTGGATCGTATACATCACGAGAAAATCCTATGAAAAGAGTAATAACTCATAGATTGACGTTTTTCTGATGGTTCAAGACAAGTATTCACGGGAGAAAATCTCTATAGTGAACATCGTGACTTCGAAAGTTTTAAAAGGTGTATTTTTTAAGTATTTTATTTACCGTCTCTGATTGTGTGCTCTTTCTTCAATTTTGGTACGGCTAATTTGGATATTCTTTCTGTTGCTTGATAATTCATCGCTCCTAATGAAACACTTGTATAAGGCGAACGAGGATACTGAAAATATTTTCTTTCATCGATCGATTTAAATGAAAATGTTGACGATGATTTATGCATCGTCGACGAATCGTTTGTTTGTTACTTTAACGATAAAGTTTAATTTAAATGAGTATTTACTTCAAGAAGCAAATACTCATACGAAATTCTAGACAAGAACAATCAATCATAACCATGTCCTTTTTTCACCTTTATTTTTAACAAAAGGCATACATATTTTTCAAGAGGTAAATTGCAGGTATGTTTATTTCAATAATGTTAATAATGGACAGAAAACAGCGAACTATATATACTATATATATGCTAAATGAGAAAGACGATTATTAGTTAGACGATGTTCAATAATCTCGATATCATACTTTCTTTCTCAGCTTTTTACTTCGGATAATATTGATTTCTAAATATTGAAGCATTAACATATTTCAAAAGGGTAAATGAAAACGTAATAGAATTACTAATGGTATAAGTAAATGTTGTTTTACCCAACATGATACTGTATACACAAGTAGAATGAACAAGAGAGAACAAAAGTTATAGACAATTATGTTCAGCTGCATACGATCATCGTAAACTGACGATCATTAGAATGCAATCGATTTATCCAAAAACGTTTCGTTTTCGAGATAAATCATTTTTAATGTTTTCCTTTCAAAGTATCAGTGCTATTTCTGCTAAAATAACTGCAAACTGGTAAAATTTTATAGCAATTATTAAATGTCATATTTCAGTTTACAGTACCGAGTTGTTTTAGCAGAAATAACATTGATACTTTTGAAGAAAAACATTAAAAATGATTTATCTGGAAAACGCAACATTTTTGGATAAATCGACTGTATTCTGAAGGTCTTCAGTTTTGTGAAGTTTACGACAATCGTATACAATTGAACATAATTGTCTACCATTTTTATGTTCATTTCACGTTAGTATAAACAACTACTGATCGAAGATTGGAATCCAAAAGTTAATTATTCGAATTACTATAATGACTGTGCACCATCAATTTGTATCTATTCTTATTGGACGCCGTATAATTCAAGTTATATATTCGTAACAGTCATTGGACTTCTAGGAGAGATCACTGACCACGGATCACCAGTCTGTTATTCTAGTTTGTATAGATCTTATTTCTTCAGATAATCATACCACTGATTACGATGTTGATAATAGCAATAACACTAATACAGCTGGAGTGGGATGATTATTTTTATGAGATTTTTATGTTTTGATACACTTTTAATTTTTTTTAATATGACTTTGGATTTTCATAGTAATGGTTACGTTGTTGCTGACAGAATTCATAGGTAAGGGTCTATTGAGACATCACTTATTATCTACTGACCTTACACTGTTCATGAAAAACAACGGGGGTTAACAAGAACCAATTTTTGTCGTTTCTTATTTTTTTATCGCATAGAATAATTTCTAGTTACAAAGATATAATAATTTACTGCACTTGTATAAACAGATTTAATTGACTACTCTTTTCCAAAGAAATAGAATCTTGTAATAAAATCATACAGTAAGATCGTTTAAAATCTTATGACATCTTATGAGAAGATCTTGCAAGATCGTCAAAGAACATACGAAATCTTGTTGTATATTCTTACAAGATATTTGACGTTAATTATGACCTCCTAATTGAGATCACTTTTTATCAAAAAGCGGTCTCAGTTTGGGCCGCACTGCATCAATGCTACCTCTCCATCATAAAAGAATACAGCTTAAGTTAGTTTCTTATAACAGTAATTATTTATGTACTATAACTATGAAACTTTGAGATCCTCCGAAAAAAACAACAAGCTCCATAAATTGATTGTGGCGTCTGCTGTAGATTTCCAGGACTACACTTAACTTGTTTATTGGCAATATCTTAATTTTTATGTATTTTATTTATACTGTCGTTTTAGTAGTTTATATTCACAAACATGAAACTAATTGAACAGTAGTCAATGATTGTTTCTGCTTAACAATGCTGATCGCCTTTGGTTATAATCATTTTTGTTGGAACATGCGAACCACCCGTGCTCCATTGGTTTCGGGTATCCCGCTTCTAATCGATTTGTCTGTTGATTCCATACATAAACTTTTCTATCTGATTCTGTAAAAAAATAATGTCGATTATTGTATGTGAATGCCGTACGAACTTGGCCTGGAACACCCGGAAATAGTTGATTGACACGTTTTGGTGATATACTCGTAACAAACTGAACGGTTTTTTCATCAAATGGAAATAGTAAATCTCCTTTTAACAACCAGATACGATTTTCATGGTAGAGAGCTGCAATGGGATTATAGGGTGTGTTATAACCACTCAATTGTTTCGGATAACCAGCTTCTAACGAATTTAACGAAGAAAAACACCATACACGATAATCTTTAAATAAATATATTTTTTGTGTGACGGGTGATAATATTGCTGCCATAATGTGATCTTCGGCACCTTGAAAAACACTTTGAAGAGGTATACCTCGGGTATCCCATTGATCGAAATCAGGATGATATCGCCAAACTAGGAAGAAAGGCAGAAGCATGTATTATACAAATCTAGTTTGCCTTACTAATTTGATATTGAATATACTTTTATGAGTGAAACGATTATTATGAAATCGGATCCGCTCTTTATATTAGCGCATAAGTAAGTTGAAGATTTTTGCAACGAGCTTACTATAATCAAGCTATACTTATAGTTACCGGTGTAATGGTCTAATGTATACAAATATTTATCTCTTCCTCCTCCAACCACTGCATCAAGAAATCTCCCACAGCGTTCATGTTTCAGTGAAGAATCATCTGGATTGGTAGCTGATGTTTTTGTTGTCGAACGTCGTGACGGTGTTACGGTTCGTGTAGATGGAGATGGACGAGATGTTGCTCTTGTAGTTGTTGTAGACTTTGATGAGCTACCGTACAATGCGCGAATTCCGTCTTGATCCTTTAATAAAATCACACTACTTCAATGTTACAGAACAAACTAGAAGATGATTTTTTTGACAAGAATAGTCGAAACTTCAGAAATGCCATTAACAGATCCTATTGCTAA